TCATGGCTAGCTAGCTAGCTGGCTCAATGGCTAGCTAGCTAGCTAGCTAGATAGATAGATAGATAGATAGATAGATAGATAGATAGATAGATAGATAGATAGATAGATAGATAGATAGCTGGATAGCTAGCTAGCTAGCTAGCTAGCTAGTGGGGTACCGAAGGCGCCGGCGGGCTAGGAGACTGGTTAGATATCTCACTAGGTAGCTAGCTAGCTAGCTGGCTAGAAGGAGACAGAAAAGGAGACAGAAGAAAGGAGAAAAGAGAGAAGAAAAAATAGAAAAAGAGACAGAAGAAAAAGGAGACAGAAAAAGACACAAAAGAGAGAAGAAAGAAAAACAGAAAAAAAGACAAGAGAAAAAGGAGACAGAAAAGGAGACAGAAAGAAGAAAGAAGAAAAAAAAAAACAGGAAAAGAGACAAAATAAGAAGGAGACACAAAAGGAGACAGAAGAAAAAAGAAAAAAAAACAGAAAAAGAGAAAAGAAAAAGGAGACAGAAAAGGAGACAGAAGAAAAAAAAAAAACGGAAAAAAAGAAAAGAAAAAGGAGACAGACCCTCTGAGCCAGGTGAGGGTAAATCCTCTCATCGAAGCCATTGGCCTCGCCCTTCACCATCCTGCAGAAGAAAAGACAAGGGTTTAGGGTTTAGGGTTTAGGGTTTAGGGTTTAGTAGGGGTTTGCAGGGTTTGGAATGTAAGAGGGTTTAGGGTTTGTAAGGGTTTAGGGTTTTGTAGGGTTTACGGGTTTCTACGGTTAGCAGGGTTCAAGATTGAGAAGGGTTTAGGGTTTAGGATTTAAGAGGGTTTAGGGTTTATAAGGGTTTAGGGTTTGTAAGGGTTTAGGGTTTACTGTTTGTAAGGGTTTGTAAGCGTTTATAGTCTGTAAGGGTTTATAGTTTGTAAGGGTTTATGTTTTGTAAGGGTTTGTAAGGGTTTGTGAGAGTTCAGCGTTTGTAAGAGTTTGTAAGGGTTTGTGAGGGTTTGTGAGGGTTTATGAGGGTTTAGGGTTTAGGGTTTAGTACCTGAGAGCCTTTTGCAGAGACTCCTCGAAGGTGCGGCCGATAGCCATCACCTCGCCAACACTCTTCATCGCCGAGCCCATGAAGGGGTCTGCCTCGTCAAACTTTTTCATATCCCACCTGAAAACCCTAAACCCTAAACCCTAAACCCTAAACCCTAAACCCTAAACCCGAATAGACCCTAAACCCTAAACCCTAGAAACTAGACAAAAAAAACCCTAAACCCTAAACCCAACACTCTTCATCGCCGAGCCCATGAAGGGGTCTGCCTCGTCAAACTTTTTCATATCCCACCTGAAAACCCTAAACCCTAAACCCTAAACCCTAAACCCTAGAAACTAGAAGCTAGACCCTAAACCCTAGAAACTAGAAGCTAGACCCTAAACCCTAAACGTTTCATTTCCTTTTATTTTTTTTCTTTGATTTCCTTTGATTTCTTTTTATTTCTTTCCTTTCCTTTATTTACTTTATTTATTTTATTTATTTATTTAATTTATTTATTTTATTTTATTTATTTTATTTATTTTATTTATTTATTTTTTTTTCTTGCCTGGGTACTTTGGTGACGACGTAGTCGAATGCGGGCTCAAAGCAGGCGGATGTCTC